GTTTTAAAGTGAAATTTGAAAATCTCCTGCCACTGACTGTCAGAACCAGTTTTCTGGGTGGCTTATCTGCTGAGGGTCCAGAGGGGAAAGGGTGCTTGAGGAGATCCGCAGACAGTCAACTCAGACGTCTCCACCATCAGAAAGGAGACACCGGGCGCTAGGGCCAGGGGGCGAGGCAGCAGCTGAGGGATTTGCTGACTCCGCTCTGGAGGGAGGGAAAACTCCAGCGCTGCCTGCTCTGGAGCAGACTTGCCAGCCCCCGCCTCGCGTTTCAGGCCATGAAAAGAACACCTCGGAAGAAACGGGGATTTCAGAAATGAACGTCTCCATAAAGATGGGGCTCTCTTCACAGGGTTGTTGGTTCTTTTCCTTGAATCATACCTTCGTGGGATTTCCTGTTGAGACTTTTAAAGAAATAGCACGTGTGGCTCCATTTTTCTCCTTTTCCAAGGACTAGTTAGTCATCCCTCCAACAGAGGACAAGAAATTGAGGGGCTTTCGACTCCTGTCAAAGATTTCCCAATTTCTGAGTAGTTCCTGCACTGTCCTCATAGGCTATTACTTCTTTTAAATTAAGAAACATAACACTTTGTGTTTGTGGGGAGGGGGTTTCAACGTGTAATGACGTCAGCACGAGGCCCCCATTACAGAGAGTTTCTCTTTGAGCCCGTTTCCCCGGCCCTCATGTAAGGGTTGACGACCTGCAGGCAGCACAGAGCCTCAAGCTAGCACAGAGAGCTGCTCCTCAAACACTTGCTGAAGGATCCCACGAGCTGACAAGGGATCAGGGAAGGCTCTGCCCAGCTCTCGCCCCCACCCAGCCCTGCCGGCCGTAAACAAGGGCCTAAACAGACCATGAACCGCATCCTTGTCCCTCCAAATCCTGGGATGCTACACCAGCTCTAGGCATTGTCTGAGACAGACTGAGGAAGCGCTGGCCCTGGCGAGACACCGCTGATGGGAGGACCGGTCAGGAGTTGGAGCAAGAGGAGATGCCACGGAGAAGTCTCCTCCCCACCTGAAACAACGGGGACACACAGCCCATCTTGGGGACACGGACAGTTTTCTTTTTCTGCATTACACAGATTACGAGAGAAGCTTTACTCAAAACATACTTTGCTTGGCAGAAACAAAAACTGTAAGAAATGTATAGTCCATTCCAGAGTGCCCTATTGCGTAGATTTCTCTTTGTTGTTGCAACATGACTGGTGTTTTTGTAGGTTTGGTAACTGGGCTAAGGTCAGCGTGACATGGGGTTAAAGGAAAACCAAATACAGCCAAGATGCACCTTAACAATCAACCAGTTGTCTTTATGTGATACCAGGTAAAGGTCAAATCAGACACTCCGGCTTCAGAGCCTGTAATGCATAAACAGGTGAGGTGTTTTACAGAAAAAACAGGTAAAGGCTATTTTGATATTAAACAGAAAAAAATTGGAGAATATCATATTCTATTTTGGTTGGCAGAGGGAATCAAAAGTCATTCCCGGGGAATGTTTCTAAACTGATCCCAGGGCTTAGAAAGTCTCAACTGTGCCCTAATCTCTTCCCTGGAACCTTCTCAAGGATATCTTAGACTCTCTCTTCTGTCTACATTTCCTATCTCTCTCTTGATATCTCAAGACATCCAGAAAGGTGGCCAAGCAGTTTTTGGTGCAAACCTGAACTCTGATTTGGTGAGATTTATAAATGAAGGTGCATTTGCCAACATTGGTGAAATCACTTAAAAACTCTTGTTTCTGAAGGCCTAGGTCTACTTAAGACCATGTTTCAAGAATAAAATGGGGTACAGAGTCAGGAGAGCTACAGGACACAGCCTTTGTGATCGTGTTGTGATCAGAGTGTTCTAACTGTGTGTATCTGGCAGGGTGGGTCCCTTTCCTGGGCAGGCAATGATAACTGTCAAACTGGCGTAGAACAGAGATAATGCTCAGGATCCTAAGAAGCTGGCAGCACAAACACCACTGGAACTATGTTTTCTGGACTATTCCACAGGGGCTTCCCAAACAACTTCCTGATGTCTGGCATGCTTGCCTATTTCCTAATTTTTCAGTTTCTAAACTAAACCTATTTGGTGCCTGTAAAGATGAGTTGAGCATCAGAAGAAGGTAGATAATAAAATGAAGCCATTTGCATTCTAGGATCCTCTAGAATCTTGGACTAGTCCCAAGCCTGTACTCAAGAGATAGGGAAACTGAGGACCAGAGATGTTCAAATGATTTACATTCTCCCCAGAAAGATCTGGGTCTCACTGTTGGCTGGTGGGGAGCTTGGGCTAAGACCCTTCTGTCTTATCTCTCTGGGTGTAAGATGATCCCTGGCTGCTGGACTGAATGTGAGCTGGGTGAGTAAGACCCATTACTTGGGGTGTAACGTGGTACAGGATTTACAGTTTAGAGCAGCTGGGTTTTTTCCTACTGAGAGAACCCAGTGATAATAACAGGATTTGGGAGCATTCTGGATCCATTCCAAAGAGCTGTGAGGAAATTTTAGATAGAAAGGGAGTTAGAAATATCAGAGCAAGTAGGACTGTTTCCTAGGATCTCACTTTGCCCATACTCTCGTTTTCCTTCCACTGTAGATGAAATGAGAGGCTGGTTGCTCATCCTGTGCTAGCAGCATGCTACACTGATAGACCTGAGAGTTTCTATTTAATCGCACGGCTCTATCTTACTCCAGCTAACCCAGAACAAGCCAGACAGGCCACACCACATACTTTGGGAACAACCTGAGCTCTCTCATAGGAAATCAGGGTGATGGGAACAACGTGAGGGAGGCAGAGAAAACTGCACGAAAGGTGGAAAGGTGGTGACCAAGAAGGTTTGTGACCACAGACTGTCCAGGGGATTAGAATAGATCCCTCTTGGGCCACCAGGGAGGCTTGGATTAGGTGACAAGAAGGCCAAGAAGGCCCTTCTGAAGGGGAGGCATGGTAGCAGGTCTCAGGAGGTGGGGTTCTGCTGGTTTATCCTATTCTGACCCAACCCAGCGTTCAAGTAAGACTCTCGTGAACCGTGCTCTGCAGCTTGGGAGATATTTTATGCATTTAGAGCTACAACAGACACCTGAGACATTTCTCAAAGTACGGTAGTCCAGTGAGCAAAGTTAACCACCACGGAAGACCAGACAGAGCGGCATCCGTGCACATTTCTCTTTTCTTTTGAATGGGCTGATGGGGACACACATCCTACTTTTGCAGTTATCACTGCATTGCTACATTCAACTAAAAACGCTGCTCAGGTCCCCAGAGATGTCTTTTTTAAGAAGAGAAATCAAGGGGCAGATAGGTGGGGAAATGAGTATGTATGGAAGAGGAATAACATCCAGGGTGCCATCTGGGGTTGTCTGATGTTCTCCAGCAGATTACAGGAGGCAGAGGGGGAGCAGGTTCTGTTCTTCCCTGCTTTGCTGATAGCAGTCTCATAGATCTTGTCTAGTTTTCATTGATTTTCCTTCTTCCTGCCACCTCTGCAGCTTTTGGCTTGAGCTTTCCTGATGTTCTGGCCCTGAGCCCTAGTCCCCAGGGAAGTACCCTCTTCCTGCCAGCCCCCCAGGCTGCCCCCCCTACAGACCCAAACTACTTTATGGGGGAGGCGATTAATGGCTTATGTTAACAAAGGAAGCTTTTCACAGAGTCTGAACTCTGCAGTCTGGAGCTCTAGGAGGATCATTAGGAAGGGGAGGTGGGGAAAGGGAGGCAGAGTGGCCTCTGGGGTTAAGACATCTTCAAACGTAATGACTACTGGAACCGAAGGGTGTCCCTTCCCGGAGGCCCCAGGGCTGCCGCCTGCTGCAAACGCCTATAATAAGTAACGAGGATAACCTTCTAACAAGACAGAGAGTAAAAAAGGAATACTGTTTCAATACGGGATTTATTCCTGGCGGCTGGTCATCGCTGCAAGTCTACAAGGAGGCTTCCAATTTCAAAGATGAGTAAAAAGGGCGAGCTTGGAGGAGGGGCAGGCCCGAGGGGTGAGAAGGTCACGTAGCTGCCAGCCCGTGGGAATGTCCTGCTGATCTCTCTCTTCCAGGCCCGGCAGATTCAGAGGTAAAATGAGCAGCCAAAACCCACCAGGAGATGCTGCCCTTGTCTGCCAGAGGGCCCCTTGTAGGACAGCAGGCTGTGACTTCACACAGAGCCAGCAGCCAGGAACACACTGACCGGTGCACCAGCCCAGAGGAAGCTGGAGGAATGGGACCTGCTTCAGTGATGCCAGCCAGAAAGTCCAATGTCAACTACCTGAGGGCACCGTCCCTTAGGAAGGTGGTACCTTCAGGGTATCATTTTGCATTTCCCAATGGCTTTAGGTGTGAATTTCTTCCTAATTTGCAATTTACAACTTAGATGACTGACAATCTCTAGACTAGAGAGAGTTTGAATGACTAGCAGACTCAGGTAGGCAGACCAGGTTTTAGACAGTGGCTTTCTTTCCTTGCCTCTGCTCCCTGGCAAGCTCAAGGGCAGCTGGGGGTGAGGTGGGGAGCTGGGGGGTAAATGGAGGCAGAAGCTCTCTCTCTCTGATGTGAATTTCTAACATTCTGAACCACATGCCACAATTACAAACACTGACGGTCCCTTTTCCTCATATTTTTCAGAAGTTTAATTGGGCTTTCTGGCAGAAATCTTGCAGATGCAGCTCACTCAGATCTTTGCTGCCAACTGCACAGCCCTTATTTTTCTTGTCAGCAGAGTCACCTCAATTGTCATGCCTGAAAGAGCCCCACCCAGCTCTGTTTGGTGCCACATGGTTTTCTTTGAAAGGCCCTGCTGTCACAGCGAGAATTGCTGGGTGTCCTTTTCTACGTAAACAGGAAATATCACTCTGAAAAAAAAAAAAAAAAAAAGAATCCCTCTCCTCAGCACAAATGCAATAATATGCCCACTTATATTTCCTGCGAATGTTGAAACAGGAGCAGGATCTATTTCTCACAGCAGCACAGTGCTCTCCTTAGCTTCTAAACCTTTAGCGAGCAGAATTATAGGGAGGCTGTAGCATCACAGTTAGGAAAAATAACACATGAAAAAAATGTGCAAAATCACACTAAGGGGGCAAGATGGCATGCATCTGAATTTCAGTCACAGCAAAAGTTAGCATTCTGATATTTGACCACCTTTCTCTATCTGAAAAATCTGAAGCCTGAGTCAGTCAGGAGGGTTGACACAGGGCAGGAGAAGGAAACGCAGGAGGGATGGCTTTGTTCCCGTTACATCAGGACCTGGGTTCGTGTGTCGGGCAGGCGCAGCCCCACCAGTCCTCCGCACACGAGCACGGTGGAGGCCAGCAGGATCGGGATGGCTTTGGTGATGCTGACCAGGGAGCCGAAGATTAAGTTTCCAAGGACGGTCGCTGCTTTGCACAGCGCATTCAAGAAGCCAAAGCCTGTTGCCCTGCAAAGGAAAGAGATATGGACACGGTTGAGAAAGTGACTTCCAAGATTCCAACTTTAGACCGAAGTGTCCTACATGGTAATTTTCAGTGATCTTCAAGTAGATTGTTTTGTATATCATAGAGATTATTTATATCATCAATAAATAAATGCTTGTGAACACATCTGGAGGTAGAGAACCCAAGCTGTCAGTATTGTCCCTTCAGCCCTCTGTTGACTTTCTCACCACCTCAATTGATTCTTATTCTGCTCATGAGTTCCAATTTATCATGAACAGAAAGAGAAAGGAAATTTCAGAGTAAAAAAGTCTCTTCTCTCTTGCAGAGTTAAATTAAAATGTATATTTCTTTAGATTATTTTTATAGTCCCTATTTTCTCTTAGCTTAATTAACGTGCAAAGTTTTAAATAATGAAATCCCATGGAATTTTCAGAGAAAAGCAAAGATGCCTGGGTTGTATTCCTCATCTCTCTGGTACCATGGAGATGAATGATGCTGCTCTCTTCCCAAGCATTTTCGGTAGCAGGCAGGAACTGGACACCAATCTGGGCGGCCCACCAAGGAGCTGGTGTAACGTTTCTTCGACCCTCATCAGAGTTCCATGTGGGAAATCAAGTCCAAGAAAATCTCACAGAGAAGAATCAGACTGTAGGCCTAGAGAAGATCTTGCTTACTCTGCTGGCATTTAGGATGTGTGGGTGGTGCATACATAAGACACATCCCATATCTGATGACAGTCTTTGCAAGAGAAATATTTTGCTATCTTCACGTGCGTTGAACGTGCTCTTACTGTGGTCTTCTTGGCAGGAAACTTCATTTTGTTTAGGGAGTACCAATACCACAGACGTCACAAGATAATATCAATTTCCTCCATCTTTATGCCAGTTCACGGTTTCTGTCTGTCCCTGGGTGCATGTGTGTATTACAGGCACATTGAATGCGGGGTAATTGTTGGAAACATTTTTCCCCTTCCAGAGGGAAATGCATTTTAGTTGCTATAAAATGCAGCGTTTCGTACACATCTTTCTTTGATTTGTAAATTTGTAAGTGTGGGTTTTCCTTGGGCGGTCACAACAACGACTCACCACTACTTGTGCTATTCCTAGTGACATTTGTTACAATGTGCAGACACTTATTGTGGTTATTATCCAGCCATGCCCCTGCCCACACCATTGGAAAGGAATAAACACGCCTCCCGCGCTGCAGGAACTAGCCCGTGCTTAGTGCAGGGCCAACGATTTCTTGGGTTAGATCAGACCCGAAAGGGGGCAGCACGCGCTGACTTTCTTTCTCGCCAAGACACCCAGCAAGCAGAGCGAGAGGGTTCTGCAGTGTGGCGGAGGTGCCAGCTGTCTGAATGTGGACGGCGTGTAATGGAACCTCTGACTGCGAAACAGGAACTGCTTGAGAAGAGGGTAAAGCTAATTTTGTACTCTTCTTCTTTTTAGTTTGTTTTTAAACACAGAGACTAGTAATAACAACCACCACCAGAAAGACAAGGAGATTTAATATACTGATAACTATTTTCAAACGAAATTGCTTGAGGCCACACGTTGGGTACCGCAGAAGACTTAAGTAGAATGACATCATCATCCCTCACCTCCCCCGCTCCATGGAGACCATGCCAGGAGGCTGAACTGGCTTTTTTTTTTTTTTTAATTAATAAACTTTTTTGAGCTGTTTCAGGTTTCCAAAAAAAATTGAGTGAAAAGTAAAGAGAGTTCCCATACATCCCCTCACCCCCCCACCCCAATTATTAACAATCTTAGAGTGGCACACTTGTTACAATTGATGTAAGAATTGATGTAAGCCAATATTAACCCAGTATTATTAGCTAAAGTCCTTAGTTGACATTAGGGTTCACTGTCTGTGTTGTATAGTCTATGGACTTTGACAAATGTATAGTGGCATGTATCCACCATTAGAGGATCCTACACAATAAGTTTCACTGCCCTACAAATCCCCTGGGCTCCCCCATTCATCTCTCCTCTCCCCCATAACCTCTGGCAACCACTGATCTTTTTACTGTCTCCACAGTTGTGCCTTTTCCAGAATGTCATATAATCGGAATCATAGTATGTAGCCTTTTCAGACTGGCTTTTTTCAATTTTTTTAAACTACATTTTAGTTTCTAGGTTCTAGAGTCATAAATTACCAAGTACATCTTGTGGTAGTAAGATAAGCTGGATTGTTCTGGGAAAAATGGCTAGTGTGTATGTTGCTGATAAGAGAAAGGAAATCATCCTTCTGTGTGAAGAAGTCTCTCGACACTGAGACTGCAGAAGGACCCATGCAGAATTTATATCTGGGTTAAAATAACCATATTTTCCCAAGCTATAAACCTCAGGTATAACCCAGAACAGGGTATAAGATTCGGCCGGCTATCTCCTTCTGTTACTGAAACTGTAACTGAGGAATGAATGACTTCCTGAGATTCTGGGCAGCACTAAGAGAGACGCATCAGAGCATCTGGTATCTGAAGTTTCTAAAAAAAGACGATCAAGTCCTTATTTCCTAAGAATCTCTATTTTCATTTACCAAGCAGAGGCAGTTTTCAGATAAAAATCCGCTGTGGATGCAAAGCATACAGGCTAAATTAATGTTGGCATTTGAGAAAATGTGACTGTCCTTTCCTTGGATAACTAAATTATTTCTTCAAATACTTGCAGCTGGAGGGTGTAATTTTCTATGCATGGAAGGCACAGCTGTATGAGAAAAATCATTCTCAACTGGCTCTCCCTTGGGGGTTATCTGTTTATAAAGTAAATAAGCTTTTACTTCCTTTATTCCCTTGTTCTTACTTAAAGACAGGCCATTAACCTCTGCAGACATGGAAAGCACAAGTCACCTTGTACTCATAAAGTCCTTTGAGGGTGGGGCACTCAGAGCTTGCAAAGCCCCCACTTGCCGACTTCTCAGCAGCAGGACAAGCTTCCGCGTTCAGATCCATGTTCCGTGCCTTCTCTTAACCAACGAGCACCCAAGAGAAAGAATGACACGATCTGTTATCTTTCTATAAGCTCCAGCCCTTGTTCCCCTACCTGTGCAGCCGGAATCCTTTGTTTTCAATTCTTGCTCAATCTATCTGTTTAAATCTTTTAAGTGGAAATTCTTTTCCCAAACGGCAGCCCGTGACTGCAGCCCCGTTCCCGATCCACTTCGGCGGCCCGTCTCCCTGCACCGTGACCCCCCGTCTGAGAAGTGGGTGCTGGTGCAGGGAGCTGGCTGGCTCAGTGCTTAGCCTCAGCTGAGGGGGTACGTGGCAGCCAGAGTGTCCCCCCCTCGCCCGCCGCCCACCGCAGCAGGACTGTGGCTCCCTCTCCAGCGCCTTCACAACTCAGCGAGCTCTAGTTCATTTATACAATTTTATGTTAATTGGTGGCCAGGAAGAGGAAACCTCAGGCTCCATGCTGGACAGAGTGGGGATAGTTTTGCCCTCACATCCGGCCTGTTTCTCATTGGTTTTCTGACATCGGTGCAGGGTCAGCTGTGGGGTCTTTGAGGCTCCTGGGAAGAAGAAAAGGACACCAGATAACGGCAGCGCTTAGCAGTGCCTGGCACACGGTCGGCACCAGGCCAGGATCAGCCACTGTTTTAAACACTGGCTGAAATATCTGCCCCATAGACCGATGAGATTGTTAGGGAAAAAAAGTTAAATGCCACATTTTGAAAAGGCCTGAAACGGTGTATATGCAGACTCAGCTCACGGCATGTACCTGTTAAAGGGTAAAATGTGAGCTTCTCTTTGTCTAAACTTTTGGAAAGGAACTTTTTTGGACAGCTCAGTCAAATCATGGGTAGAAGTTACTCAGTGTGGGGCATTTTGGAAAGTACAGGCTGTTCTTAAATCAGGAATACATTGTGATCTAAAGATTCATCTGGAAGTTGGCTATTTAAAACAGAATGAATTTCATTTTTCTCACAGAAACAATATTACCAATGATGGCTGGGTTCCCAGGTTAACCGAAAAAAGTGATTTTAACACTGACTCCATCTGAGCTACGGGACTAATGCCAAGAGGACTAGACAGCCCTTGCGTATTCGTCTAATAAGCAAGTTGGTCCTTAACATCGTCCTTATTTACACATTCTCCCAGGCGTGTATTCATTAAGCATCTATGTGCCAAGCACTGCACTAGGCACAGGGACCCCAAAACGAGTAAGAGGAAGTCCCCTTTTGCACTAAGGATGCAGAGAGAGCATGCTAACACAACCTGCTGGGTGCAGTGAGAAAGACACCCACGGGGCACTGTGTGTGTTGGGGGGGAGCTCAGAGGACGGTAAGGGACCTCAGGTGGGGGCGGTTGAGGGACGGCTTCTCAGAGGGCATGGATGAGAACAGAAGTGGTTTGAAGGAAAGGGAGGAGCTTGCCAGGTGGAGGCTGGAGTTTGGGCAGAGGTGTTCTCTGGCTCTCAAAATACCCCCACATCTCCCTAACTTATCTCTGTGGTACCCCACTCAGGTCTGCCCTAGACACTCCCTCCAAAGGCTTCTCAGGTGCTAAATGGCCTGCCTCCCTCCAGTCCCCAGACAAGTCTCCCACTTTCTCATGCAGCTGTCCTCAACTTGGGGAGAGGACAGCAGTCTGGTGACCCAGGGTGCACAGATGTGTTTAACCATAGCCTCACCCAGTGGTGCTCAGACGCCGGTGCATCAGTGTCACCTGTGCAACTTTAAACATCGAGATGTGGCAAAAGCAACACCTGGGGCCACACCCGCAGGAAGTCTGACGTCACCGCTCTGTGGGGGGCCTTCACTGTGTTTCCAATCACAACTGGATTTTTACAAATCACAGGATTTATACAGTTTTGCTTTCTACTTTCTTCCAATCATTAATAACTGTCCCAGGTTGTTCATGTTTCGTTTGAAATGAAATGACTGAGCATACAACTACTATTTCTGTAACCACCACTTTGGATAATTAGGAGCTTTCCAAATCTAGGAGAACATACATGATATTGCAATGAGCACCTTCACGTAGAAGAGCTCCTTGGTTTGGATG